TGTGTGTGTTACATTACTCCCAGTGATGCTGTCTGACTCACTGATGTGTTTCAATAATTGTTGGACAACAATGGCAGATCTAATGTATGAAGACTTTGGACACACGGACAATACTTGTCTTCACTCACTGTTGGTTTGATCACCAGGCTCCTTTAAGATTTTTACCCAAAATACAGTTGGAAGAATGCCCATACAAGTGTGGTAGAAATAGAAATATGTTTAAATCAACTGTTAGTCACAAAAGTACAAGAAGTAAATGGCTTTAAGAGGGTCTAACCCTAACCCCAATATCCTAACCCTAACCCTAACCCATTGGAAATGTTCCATCCAAATACAACAAACAAACAATAACAACGTAAAACTGATCTAGAAAGGCTTTCAGTTGGTTTTAACTGAATGGATTTGAATGGAACATTCCCTGAAGACCCCCTTAAAGCCCTTCTTTCTTTTACACTTCTTTTCATTGATTTTATGAATGAAGTTAGTTGCTACACTAACCTTTACTCACTCAATATACAGCCTAACGGTCCACCGGTTCTGGCTCTGGAACCGATCTGCCGACTGCATTGAGTCCAGGAACAAAGCGTCTCATGCACGGCTCTTTTCTCCCTCAGCGAGAAATGTGCCTTGACAAATCTTACTAGCTTTGATTTGGAATACTCTATATACACTATTGAGGACATTCAGATAAAGGACGCTGTAGGGTGGTCAAGTAATCAAACTGCGTAAAGGAGGCACAAAGCCTTTGTTCCAACATCTAAATGATCTACAAACATGTTATAAAAATGTCAGCAAATCAACCTCTAAACTACATAAAACATTCAGTTGCTGTACAACAAGTGCTCCTGGTGTGAAACGTTTCCTGTGGACATTAAAACCTGCTGCAGCCAGATCAGTGGACACTAAGCACAAGTCTTTTTTCGTTTTGTAGAATTTTTCTTTTATACGATTTTATAATCAACTTCATCAAGCAAAGTATAGAAAGAAAATGAAAGATATGGAAGTCTTGTTATGCTCAGTAACAGTAAGAGAAGTAAAGGGCTTTAGGAGGGACTAACCCCCCTAACCCTAACCCTGTGGAAATGTTCCATCCAAATACATGCTTCCTGATGTTCACACTGCAGGTTGGTGGCCTAATCATTACTTATACTAAATCATAAAATATATACTTAACTTATCTATACACACTGGCTTTTCTTAAACTTATATATAGACTTATCTATAACCCAATCGTATCACTTATCTGTAACCTAATCAAATTGCTTTCATTACTAATACGTCTGACAGTTATTTCCTTGATTAAACAATGAATAGTTTGGTCTATAAAATGCCAGAAAACAGTGAAAACTTGTCATCATATTTGAGTCTAAAGTGACGATGTCAAATTATGCAAAAAAGAAAAACTATAAATCATCACATTTGAGAAAGAAGAACCAGGGAACATTTGGCATTTTTGCTTTAATAAAAATAACAGATTAATTAAAATAGTTGCCCACTAATTTTCTGCCATCGACTCATTGATTAGTCAACAAAACTTTGCAACTCAACGGACACAGACCAGACCTCCTGGTCTCTGGAGCCCTCTCCATTCTCCCATAAGTGTTCAATTGATTCACATCATTTTTATTCTCATCAAATTATTCAATGATTCTTCGTGTTCTGTATGAAAGCATCTGCATTGGTCATGTTTCTGCACTCATTCATTCAGGTTTTTCCCGTAATTTGACACCCAACTATATCTATATCCCTAACTTATCACTAGATTTTTTTTTCTTTTTTTTTTTGAAGGAGGAAAAGAAAGCGAGAGAAAGAAGCCAATTATTATACTGTACCTGCCAACCTCAACTTCAAAGTACCCCTCACTCAGCCGGCGGGGTCTCATGTGCTGCTCCCTCTGTCTCCTCCTCCTCCTCCTTTCCCAAGCCTATTGGAGAGATGGACAGAGGAGAGAAAGGAAGAAACTGCTCAAACTAGTTCAGTAAGAAGAATGAGTCAAGTCATTTGGGTTGAGGGAGAGCATGGAGGTCACTCTGCCAACAGAAACCACTCACAGTCCTCTTTCAGGCAGCCTCTAGAGCTTGACACTGAGGGCCAGAGCTGGACTGCTGGGGCCTGGAGCTCCTCTCTGGCTGGACACGGATCACCTGCTTGCCAGAGGTGGAGGGGTGGCTCCAGGGCTATTCTCCTGCTCCCTCTTCCTCTTGTTGCTGTCCT